TAATGTAGATTCAAAAAAATTATATTTAAATAAATTTGATAATTATTACACATGTTAAAAAAACTAGACAATATTTATTATTAGTTTTAATAAGCTTAATTACTTTTTATACTCATTTTCTGTAACTACTTTTTTAATAAAATATTATGATTATTATTAATAAAATAAAAATTAGTATTATATTAACATTTATAAATTATACATAATAATATAAAATGTTCATAAAAAAGGATCATCTTGTACGATTTGAATACTGGTATTTATTATTAAAATTTTATTTTTTGAACTTATTGAATTGTATCATTAATTTTTTAGTTGAATTAGATATAGAATGTTAGAGAAATTTATGAAATATTAAATTGATAAGTAATATTGGTTAAATTAAAAAATAAATGATCAAAAATTACAACTATTTAGAATCAAACTAGAGGCCTTACTGTGATAAGGCGCGTGGTCATAAGCGTCACCACCAGACCAACACAATTTTTCATGAAATGGTTTGCTATTATTGATATATAATGGTTCACGAATGATCATGTTTAAACCATTGAAACATTGTTTCTCCTCATCAATTGGTACAAGTTTTTCTATAAATAGAGATACTTGTTAGAGATAAAATATACACAAAAGTTATTTGTTTAAAGTGTCATAAATTACATCTAAGCCATTCTTTTATTTTTCTAGTGCACGAGAATAAATGAGAGAACTTTATTAAGTAAAACATCATTGATCGATATGCTTAATGTGAATGTACGATTCATGTTATGCTTTCTAAAGTATCTTGAAGAAGATTAGTCGGTTAACCATTTTACATCTAATTTGTATAAATTGATGGGGGAGAATCGAACCTAAAGCTTAGTGTAAACACACGCTTTAGAATTTATTTTGTGCAACTTTTATGGTACTGTTTTCATCTTCTTCTTGTTCATGTTTTGCAGCACACCTCCAACACAATATCTAACAATCTTTAGGTCCGATCTTCAATTTTGATCCATACTTTATTTATAATTAATATTAAAAGTATACAAGTTTAAAGAAGATGCTAACAACTTTCAATGATGATGAAAGATACATAATTAATTCATATAATGTTAATTTATGTTTTTTGTGATTAATTTGTGGTTTGAATTTTGATGGAGAGAAAAATATACATTTTTGTTTATTCATACCATGCATGGTGAAAGATACATCATGTGCAATAAATTTATATATGCATAATTTATAAATTATACAAGCATGTGAATTTGAATAATTAAGAATATATTTGGTTTACGTATACTTGAATTGAATGTAAAATACACTTTGAATATATTCTTTGATATAAGTAATTTATTTTAATTAATAATAAATTATTTTTGGATGAAATGATTTCGTATAAAAAAAATCATGAATTTAAACTAATGGTGCATATATTGGTAACATAAAATGATGTAAATAAAATATTAAAAAAATATAAAGGATATGATTAAATTGTATTTTAATTTGTGCAATAACTTATTAAATTTAAAATGATTTATCTCATATTATATGTGTATCATAATATGAAAATATTATTTCTTGTTTGTCTTGATATTGAAAGTAATTTTTGCATATTTTAGATTATTGTAATTTGACAAATATTTATGGAGAAAAATTATAGAAAATATTAATGAAGTGAATTCATTGTTTATTGTATTGTGATTTTTATTTGGATATATCATAAACATTGTTAAATATGAAACATGAATTTATAACATGGTGTTGTATTTATATGGAGTTTATGAATTATATGTTTGAACCCACTTCATGAAATAAAAAATTATCGTGACAAATTTGTACGATCATGGTTGTTGATTGCTATAAATGATAATGCAATATATATATTTTAGATATATTTAAGTTGAAGTAAAACTTCAAAATAAAAAGGTTGGTAAATGAAGGATGACATGAAAGTTATGTATATGATAAAATAAATGACTAAAGTGTCATGGTGATAGTTTGTCAATACCATCAAAAATATAAATATATTTTGCATATGATAATTTTACTAATGTGCTAAAAGTGTCATAGTTTGATGATAGATGGAAAATATTATCAAGAGTACATAAAGTAATCATATGCATGATTAGTTTAAAAATTGAATATTCGAAATTTATTAAAGTTTGGAAAAATCTTCCAATTCTTTGACGAAAGAATTGAAAAAGATATGATGTATTTGTAATAATTAAATACAATGAAGACATCATTAGGGATGTGGAACAAGCCCATATCTAGTTAATCATCAATAGTGGAAACTCAATGAAGGAAGGAAAACACTGAGAGGGGGGGGGGGGGAATAAAAATAACAGGTATTTTTATACTGGTTCGTTTGAACACAAACTACTCAAGTCCACCCGGCCAAGGTGATTTCGCCTCTTTCAAAAGAGGACTTAATCCAATAATCAAAAACTGATTACAATCTTTTCACTAAGATAAACTTGTATTAGTCTTCTCGAGAATACTGACCACAACTTGGTCTCTCAAGGATCTTTTACAAAGTAATACAATAAAGTGTGTTTAAGTGCTTCTTAGAAAAGCTTTTTCACAACAGTGATTTAACACAAATGAAGATCAATGAAACTTTCTATTTGCTAATATGAAGTTGACTTGGAAGTGATAGCAAAGTAGGATTTTCTTTTTAGCAAAGTAGTTTGTTCGTTGTAGAATAGTGTTATGTCGTTTGAATTGCTGTTGAAGATTTGTTTAAATACTTCACACCCATTTCTCAAATAGCGTGTAGATGCTTTTTTTTGTCTTCTTTAACTATTTATTTCCATGAGAGGAATGTTCAGAGATATCCTTTTTGTTCTGAAATCCTGTCCCATACACAAAAGAGGAATAGTGTCGTTGGATGTAGACAATGAATTTGGCAACAAACACTACTACAAAAAAGTTTTATAATAGCGCTTTTTTTGCTTTTTAATAGCGCTTTAAAAGCGCTATTATAGTTCTGGTAATTAATAGCGCTTTTTCAAAAGCGCTATTATAGGACCTGTATTTAATAGCGCATTTACAAAACCGCTATTATAAGTCACATATTTGATAGCGCTTTCAAACAAAGCGCTATTATAGCACCGGTAATTTGCTTTAATTTTGATAGCACTTTCAAACAAAACGCTATTATAGTACACATATTTAATAGCGCTTTCCAATAAAGTGCTATTATAAGAGACATATTTAATAGCACTTTCAAACAAAAGCGCTATTATAATCCACATATTCGATAGCACTTCCAAACAAAGAGCTATTGAAATACCGGTAAATTGCTTTAATTTTGATAGCACTTTCTAACAAAGCGCTATTATAATACACTATCTTTAATAGCACTTTCTATAAAAGCGCTATTAATGCCCTTTATTTATTCTTTTAAAAAAATGAAATTTTATAACTCAAATCCCTCAAATCCAACATATGCCTCAAATCCCTTAATCAAGATAGGATCACAAATACAGATGATGAATGTCCAAGCTTTTCCATGAAGTAAAACTTAATAACACACAATGCTAGAACAATAAATTTGAAAAAATATTTGATTAATGGTAAAACCAACCGAGATGATCTTGAATGTATACAATTCCTGTAATAGTTATTATGACACCAATAATTGTGAAAGCATAATACCAACTGAAGAATATTTCCAAGACTCTATAACTATTTGGATTATCTTTCCTATTCACTTAGTCAGCACCAAACGCCATGGAACATGAAAGACCACCATTTCCAATTGACATTAGACCAAATGCAGAGAGTAGCATTGCCATTTGACCTTTCGTTGCTGATTTACAGCCTTCTGTTGGATGTACACAAGCTGGAGGCCTTGCCTGTGGGACCATGGTTGTTAACCACAGCAATGTCATCCCCTAGACAACAAAAACAAAGCATCAAATAAACCACGAAAATCTTAAAATTCATAAGGAAGAAAACAGCCACGTATTCTGTCAGTATATCCTTTCGCATGAGTAATGTCATCATATCGCCACCAGGAAGATACTCCATTATAAGATATAAACAATCTTCGTCTTGAAAGGAACAATAAAGCTTTACAATGTAATTGCTGTCAACTTCTACAAGTAGGTCCCTCTCTGCTTTTACATGTTCAACCTAAACAAGGATGTAAAATTTACCGACGAGTATAACAAGGCACAATTCACATCAACAATCTGAGGAGGCCCTGATGATTTCAGTACCTGGCCTCGGCGAAGCATCTCTGACTTCTTAAGCTTCTTCATAGCATATACATTACGAGTTGCCTTCTCTCGGCAGATTCTGACCTATACCCAAAAAAATTAGAATATTAAATATTAATATACTATATTGATATTGTTGGTTGATGTTACATAAGATTACCTAAACATTATAAGGTTTTATGGCAGAATTATGTAGTGATGAACAAGATATATTTCAAATATTCTAACAAGGTCAAAGTAACATATTGAAAAGATCAGAAACATGGTTTTACTTATATAAAAATTATGCCAGACTGTACCTCTCCAAATGCACCCTTCCCTATCATATCAAAGGGCTCAAAATCATCAACACCCATTTTATGCCTCTGACATGTATTCCCTCTCCCTTTTCTCAAAAAACCTAAGCAAGTTGTTCTGCTCTTCCTCGGAGACTTCAGAGTCAGCCAACTTTTTTTCGAGCATATTACGTCTGCAAGAATGACATGCGTAGCGTTACAAGAGCTCACAACAATTTCCATTTGTAGATGTTATCTGCACTAACTCATATAAAAGCACCGGAGACATTACAAAATATTATGTCAAGATTATCATGCAAAGTTATATTCAAATGTCAAAGAATACAAGTTGCTACCTCGTTGGTCTGGTGTAATAGTGAACAAGAACATTGAAGAAAATTCTCATTTATATCTCCTTAAAAGATGACAACAAGTTGTTAAAACAACTATTTTACATGCTAAAAAACTCATCAATTGATACAAATCTTAAGTTGGAGTGACCATACCGTTCTTTTCTCTCCTATAAGTTCTTCATCTGCTTCTTATAATGATTTTCTATGTACTGCTTTGCAGCTGCAACTTTCTGTTGAGTGACATTTGAAGAAGCTTCTTCATTTGTCGGGGGCTTTAACCTTTCTTTTACAACGCTTGCAGTTTCCTTGTTTTTCGAAGACTGCATCTTGTCCTTGTTTGACTTGAACTTGTGAAACCAACAACCATCCATTTTATAAAAACCTTAATCCCACTGTTATATATGCTTTTTCACCAACTACTTAGAAGCGCTTTGTAAACCAAAATTCTCATTTCGGTGGCAAAGAAATCAAGGAGCCGTTTTTCACCACAACAATAGCCTGCACATTTACTCTTACTTCTGCCAAAACAGAAAACAAAACGGTAATGAATCAATATACGTGAGCATCAAAACGTCTGTTTAGCTGATCAGAAGCAAAACTTTGACACACAGATAGAGTGTTAAGATACTCTAAGAGCTGTTAAATCGGAAGTCAAATGTGGTTACTAACAAATGAAAATAAACAAAAAAGAAATTTAAGGCTTCATTTTAGAACAAATAACACAACACATTTGAGAAGAGAGTAATCACAAATAACCAAATATCAACAAGAAAGATTGTCGGAGCAAGGAAGCAAATGTGGCACTTAAGAATATAAACAAAAGGTTTAAAAAATGGTCAGTGACAGCAACAAAACGGTATCGGCAAGTACCGATACCTATACTGTTATTCACCATTTTTATGTTAAAGAACAAATTGTAGTTGATTCACACTGTGACAACCACATTCAGTATTCAGCATCACAACATCTGTACCGATAGAAATCAAGAAAGCCTTTACTTAACCACGACCGATATTTTTGTGAAGAAACAGCGGAACAATCAGCAAATAAAGTTCAGAAAACACAACCATTTCCTAAGATCCAAACTAAACAGCAAAATCAGACTTCAAAAATCATGATCAAAGTTGCAATGTTCCAAAACTACTGGAAACAAATTAATCAATTTCAATTCAGGTCAAATCAACATAATCGAATATAAACCTCAACAAAATCTAGTTACAGTTCAACAATAGAGTTCAATAAAGCTTGAGCAATTAACCAGCACTCATATTCAGTCCAAACAATGATGATCCCCATTATACTGATCAAACATACTCAATTTTACACGGTACAAATCAAATCCTTCAAATAGATAAACAGAAACAAAATCAAAACTAAAATCACGCACCTAAAATCAAATTCAAAACCAAAACCATACACACAATGTTACGACATCGCCAAGTCATCAACATCATCTCTCCTTCCACGTTTCTCTTCACCCTTATACAACCATACACACAATGTTGCTTCCTCTTTTCAAGCTCATGCTGACAGTGCGATAACAATGACAAAAACCACTCACGCGTGTCACTTTTCTTGATGTTTCCATAACCATGAGAACCAACATAGCACCGCCTGCTATTACTTGAAAAAAACCAACCGTAGCTCCTTTCCGAAAAACCACACTCCCTCTTCTCGTTTCAATACTCCTTCACACCATAACCCTCTCAAAGCATTTTTACAAATAGTTGGTGTGCAAGGATAACTCAATTGCTAGCAGTAACAACAACAGCCGCTGTGATTTCTACGAACCACATCTGGCTCTTCTTCCCTCTGTATTTTCCATCTTCCTGATCTTTTTGGTTTCACACAAAGTTATCATCAACCTCATCTTTAACCTATTTCAATCAAACCTTCTTCAAACTCAATTCCATTTCCTTAAGATATCCTTCACAGAACCACCATAAACCTTACAAAACCTGTAACTTCTGCAAATCATCTTCAAACTAATCCTCACATAAACACACTCCTATCGTTCTATTTTAAAGCACAACAACTATTACCGCCGACCTCCCTTCAAACCACAATACTGCTAGTGCTACAAATAGGGTGGAGCAGTCTGGAGAAAGAAATCACGGCGAGAATCATGAAACATAAGGATTGAGACGCGATGGAGAACGAAGTTGAAATGCGAGATTGAGGGCGGCGATGATCCAAGACAGGCCGGCGGCGATTTTCTGCGACGGCGGTGCATCGGAACCTGTTGCATCAACGTAGTCAAGTGTGGAAAGGAGATCTTGCCTCTCTGGCACATCTTCAAGTTACCGGTGAAACAAAGCAAAATACAAATACAAACAATTATTAGCCAAATATGGATTGATCTTGTAAAATAAAATATAACTGAGAGAAATCACAACCTTGCAATGTGACCTACCATTTAGCAAAACTACTAAAAAAAGGATGCAACAATGAAGCAGAGCAGTTATAGTTACAATGGAAGGAGAACAAACCTTCCAGAAAGCCTGAAATATTCTTGGTGGATTATACAAAAAAGCAATAGCAAGCCTTTCTGGATAATGGTTTTGCAAAATGTGAGTAATATCACGAGCACTTTTAACAGCAATATTTGTGCCAAATGAAAATCCTGTAAAGTCTATCAACCATGACATTTGTTCTTGACCATCGAAAAGATTAAGTACAACATTTTCCAACAGATAGACTAAATGCTTGATATTATTTTCTGCTGATGTTGTGTTCTGACAGAAACAGATTGAACAGAGTTAGACAAACAGTTATATACAGAGAAGCCTTCTTAATTAACTACAAATAGCCTTAATAATAATGAATATACATCTAAGTTCAAACTTGCATCCCTGGTCTCATAATAAGCACTGTCCTCCCAAGTCTATCATGAAAGTTAGCTCGGGATACTTTTCCCGTCTCGCCCTCATGTGCCACTTCAGCCTGAATTTAGGAAAGCATTCAATTGTAAATGTAGGTTATAATGCATGAAAGAGAAATATGCATTAATAGACTATTATTTTATGATGACTTCATTTAGTCCTAGCAGGCTATGCAGAAACACGTCATCATTTTGGAACTAAGGTATTCTGAAACCAAATATATCAATTTTAGAACTCCAAGCAATGACAACAATTGAATTTTTACAATTCGAAACTAAGATGCACTTTGTTTTGTTGACCTTATATTTGAATAATCCAAATCCTTAAGTATTTGATTTATAATTTAATTATTATGTTTCTTGAACAAAAAAAAACTAGATATGTTCAAATACATAAAAGTATCTTGCAGCAGATTATAGAAGAGACATACAATGAAATGAATTTTGTTTTTCAAGAGAAGGGGCAAAACAACACATCAACCATTAAGTAAGGTCAAGACAAGTTAGACAGTAGAACAAAAATAGCAAAGCTCCAGAAGATTTGGTACTTCACCAATTTGTCAAATCGTTTACGGTATGGATCAACACCACAACTATAATTTATAGCATGCTCTTGATACAAAAGTTCCGGCATCACCAATGGAGTATATAAAGGTCAAAATCAAATAAGTCAAACTAACCCAGCAAATTTCCTCAGGCTTATAAGTAGATCTCCACTTGAGGGATTCCTCCAGCATTTTCTTAGCTTTATCAACGTTCTAGTTCCGCGCTTCTAAATATCTCTTTAAACATGCATCTGTGCAATACATCAACCTGAAATCGACTCTCAGTAGGGGCGGTGATAAGATCCTGCTTGCTGACTATTTTCCTGTTAAAAATAATTTTAGGACAAGGAGTTTGCACTAAAACCAAATTCATTTGAAACTACTGCGATAAAAACAATCTTAAACATCTATTAAACCAAGTTAAAGATAAGATATCAAAAATTCTAACAGGTTAACCTGGAAATACCTACAAACAGGACACAAACCAGAGGTAGAATTTCGCCAACTTGCCAAGAGGCATTCCCGGCAAAGGCAGTGAGCACATGGTCCCTCTACCATCTTCAGTAAACTCTGAAAACTCCATTAACACATCAACCTTCAAACACCACAGATCCTTCTTCAACAACTCGCAAAACCCGAAAACAATGTCACATTCCATCTCTCACCATTAACAGAACCACACACAAAACGCCGGAAAACTCCTTCAAAACCTCCATCGGAACCCCTTCCAGAAACCTTCACCTCCGACCGTTAATCCATCCCTCACTTCAAACTGGCTTCAAACCCATTTCATCCGTAAATCCAACTTCAAAACACCCCCAAAACCAGAACCGAAAGTGGAAGAGAGATTCAAAGTGAAACAACCGAACACCCAATCATAAACCCTAACCCCTCTTTCAGTAATCCAAATCTCCATTCCTTCCGCCGTAAACCTCAAACTTCAATCGATTTCCATCATCAAAACCAAACCGTTCAGAATAATTATCATCAAAAAATGTAAACCAGATTCAGAAATAAAATAAGAGGAGATGGAGAGAGTTTGAAAGAGAGAGCCAGTGAAATGAGATTGAGAGAGAGGGGAATCCGAGTAATGATACGAAGAAGAAGGCTTTTGGCTTCTATTATTTTTTTTTTGCTGATTTATTTTTACTTTTTATTTCTTTAATAGCGCTTTTTATAAAAGCGCTATCTTAATACACAATGATAGAAACGATAGCGGTTCCATAGAAAGCGCTATTGTAGTTACATATTTTAATAGCAATTTTTAAAAAGCGCTATCGTAGTGCTTTTAATAATAGCGCTTTTTAGAAAAGCGCTATCTTAGTGAATATCTATAATAGCGCTTTTTTACAAAGTGCTATCAAAATCATATTCTATGTACTCTTTAATAGTGCTTTACTATAAAGCGCTATTATAAATATGTTTGTTTCCTTTTTAATAGCGCTTATTTAAAAAGCGCTATTAAAGTAGGCGGTACAAAAAACCAATTTTGGCGTAGTGAAATCTTTCTTGATCAACATCTTTTTAAATGAACGAATATGGAAATATTTCCTGCATCAGATCCTCTGATGATGTTCCATTTTCTTCTTATCAAAGTAACTCTCTTCTAGAGTTCCGCAGCTTAGTGCTAGCGTGATTGTTTTAACAAACTGTTCATCCAGAGGAGCGCTTTAGATCAGAGCAGATCTTCGCTCTTACGTGTTATCCATGTTATCCAAATGTATCACTTTGTTACTAACGTTTTAGAGCCTTACGTGTTTTGATTCTCAGAGCCTCTGCAGTTGCAGCGTTGAGTTTAGTACGCTTAGAGTTTTCTGAATCTTCGCTTTATACTCTACGCTCAGAGCCTTCTGTATCTTCGCTTTTTACCAAACGCTCAGAGTCTTCTGTGTGCTGTAGCTTAACGTTCAGAGGAATATTCCGTTCAGAGGAATATTTATTATGT